AGACTCTACAAGAGAGTAAGGAAACATGCCTTGGGGCGCTTTCCTCCTCAGGTTGAGTAGCAGTGAGTGTTTGGGAAGGGTATACAGGATTCTCCTTAATTTAATCTTGCTTTTATTTTAACTTCAGTTAGTTCACTTTGTTCACAAAAGAAATGAAGGGCCATGGGAGAGAAGAGGCACGAATAGTAGAGAAGACTACCCTGTGCTGAACCCCAATCCTGGCCCTAATATGATTCTCTGTATTTGTTTAAGATTTCTCTGGAAGTGTATGTGCTAGCATTTTTGCATCTTTTAGAAAAAAATCACAGATGGGATCATCCTCTGAACACTACTCTGCCATTATTTCTCTATCCAGAGAAAAGCTGTTCTCTGTTTTCCTCCAAGAATGTATTTTCACAAACAGTCCTTCTATTTTCTTTGTTACTGTTCTAACATGAAGTCATATACCACATCTTCTTTTGAAGCCTACATTCATCACTAGTCTTGATTGTTGTGAGGATAAAAACTATTTCCCATCCTTGCCTTTCTGCAGGTTTATCTTCTTCAAAAGTAAGCAGTGCCCAGAGCTATTGCCTGCAGGCCACCTTGCATTAATTGGCTTTCCTTACCTTGCCTGAGGTCCCCTGCTGCCTGTCCTGTCCAGTTAGCCACTTCTCCACTCCTCCCTGGTGCTCTTTTTGCCAGTGCATGAAATGCCTCCAAATCACTGAGCCCCTTGGGGCTCCCTGCAACCAACCTGCTGCTCGCCCTAATGGCATCCATTTCCCGAAAGCATTCCAGATGAAACAGCAATCTGCCACCTGTCTTTCCAGATCAGACTCCATGTTCCCTTCATCTTGATTTCCTGCTCTGCCCTGGGTCAACTTATCTGTGCAAACGTACCCTATTTTGTAGCATTTTCTTCTTTGTTTTTAGAATCACCCTTTGCCGGACTACTGTGTGGGCCTTTGAGGCAGAGATCCCTCTCTCTCTTAGACCTCAGCAAAGGATAGGTGAAAACAAATGGGAACCACTGTTATCTCTGTTATATTTTTATTATATGATTTTTATTAAAATATGTGAGTGAATGGCTAGTGGAAGATGGCAAGAGTGTGGGTGCTCAGGCTGTGAAATCTTGACTAACTTGGGGAAAACCAATACTGTGGTTTATTTAATTGTTAGGTGAAAGAAAAGCAAAAGGAGAGTTATTTTGGGAAAAGTTGTCAAGTTGCCCTAAAGCTTAGCTCCGACAGCACCACCAGTCCCCTCAGTGCAACTTTTGCTGATAACCCCAGAGTGTTACTTGAAGAGGTGATTTCTCAGAGATCCCCACCTATTTCTATCATCCCGTTTCATGCCAGCTGTTTCCTTTTGGGCTCTAGGTAAACAAAAGCCTCTTCCTGCTTGGAGTCCAGATAGACTATTCCTGAAGGCTTTGGTTGTGATATAAAGGAGGAAGGTTAATCACTGTGCATATTTATTTTCATTCCTAGGCCACTGAACCGAAGAGAAGCCCTGGCCCACTGCCCTAGCTTGAGGTCTCTGGAAACAGATGCTTGCATCAGATTTGGGGATATAAGATAATATTAGGCGCTGCTAGCTGTGAAATAAAGGGGCAGGGAGTAGGTCTGGGAGAAGTTGAATGACGATGCAGGTGCGGTCTCAGAACACCCTGATGCCCTAGCAGAGGGCTCTGGAGTGAGTGGGGCCCCCAGCACTCTTCTGCTCCCAAGCCAGTAAATCACCAGTGTCACTGCCTTGAGAAACGCAGCATCTGGACACAATAGCCTGCAGGTTCTGGTGGCTGCAGACCCTGTGAGTCGCATTCCCCTTTCTGGGCAGCAAGCCTGGCTTCAATGGGGATCCAGGTTGTAACATCTCTGTCTCTAGCCTGCTCCCCATATCCAGGCAACCACCGTGACCTGCATTTCTTGCTCCATAAAATCTTTCATATCTGCTTCTGTGTCTGTATCTCAGTTGCCAACACCTTAATGAAGGCCCTCATCTTTTCTGTTTGAGTATGTAATAGTTTTACAACTGTTTTTCCTAACCCCATTCTGTCCACTGCTTCTGTGCCCCCAGAGAGATCTTTAGAAATATGCAAATAGAGTCACCTCATGCGCTGGCTCAGTGGCGGCCTTTGTGACTAAATTCCAACACCTCGGTCTGGATCACAAGGCATCTTCTATCCCTCCTTCCCTCTCCGGTCATGCCTCCCCTGGTGACAGGCTCCACCTGTCCTGTTCCCGTTTATTCAGCCCTCTTAGTCTCCCTTCTCACCATGACCGTTGCTTTGCTCAAGATGCTACCTCTTGAGCCTCCCCTGGTGACAGGCTCCACCTGTCCTGTTCCCGTTTATTCAGCCCTCTTAGTCTCCCTTCTCACCATGACCGTTGCTTTGCTCAAGATGCTACCTCTTGAGCCTCCCCTGGTGACAGGCTCCACCTGTCCTGTTCCCGTTTATTCAGCCCTCTTAGTCTCCCTTCTCACCATGACCGTTGCTTTGCTCAAGATGCTGCCTCTGTCGAGAAATGACACACATGGTTCTGTAGCCTCTGATGGGAACTCAGATCTCCTGACTATAAGCCGGGCACTTTCCCTGCACCTACTCTCCAGAGGGTTTGTAAGACTATCCCATCCTGCACATCCTTTTCCTGTCTTCAACCTTTTTGATGAAAATTGTACCCTTTAAGTTTTCACTGGACATGAAAGTGAAACCAAATATCCATTTTGACAGTCTTATGAAAATCAACCCTTTAAAAAACAAATCAAAGTTCAGTGGACATGATTTCCAAAAGGTACTACTTTTTCAACATACATGTTTGTTCTAGAAATACTTCTCTTGACCCCTTCCTTTCTCTAAAAGTGTTTTTTAAAGTAGCTGAACCAACAGATAGTGTAATGAATGAGAACACAAACTTTGGTATCAGTTAGTGACTCCAGGTCATGGGCTTCAACACTTGAGCTGTATGCATTTTACTTTCCAATAGGAACTTGACTTTCTTGATCTGTCGGTGCAGTGGAGAAGGTAATAGTACTCCTCATACAGTATTACTTACTTTGATACTCAAGTGACAAAATATGTGGAATACGTGGCACAGAATGGGACTGTAACCTACTGTGTTCTATATTAGACATAAGGGCATAGTTAAGATGATGCCCACAGCCTAACATCTGGTACATACTAACACTGGTACATCTCTCCTTGAGATTTCTGCAGGTTTTCACCTTCAAAGCACAGTAGAGGTCTCCATTCTTTTCCCTATCACTTAAGCATCTTAAACTTATCCACCAGCTAGCATGGTTCAATAGAAATATTTGAGCCACTTACATAATTTAAAAATTTCTTGTAGCTGTGTGAAATCAAAGGGAAATGATTACAGTTAATTTTAATATGTTTAATTTGATATGTCCAAAATATAATTTCTACAGTGTTAAAAAACATACTGATCTATTTTACCTTCATTTTTCTATATGGAATTTTTGACCTCTAATGTGTGTTTTCTACTTAGAAATCTCAATTCAGACACTGTTTTCATTGTAAATATTAGCTTTTGATTTCCTAATGTTATAAGGGTAGATTTGTTTCAAATATGCATAAAAGTTGATCAGTAACTGAATTGAGTATCAACTTTTAAGTTGAAGTGGGAAGGAGTTAAAATTAAATCAAAGAAAAAAAAATAGTTCTTAGGTACTTTGACCACTTTTCAAGTGTTGAATCCACATTGGCAGCCACCATATTGGACAATAAAACCCTGGAGCCAGAGCACTGGTTTCCATTTTCTTCTTTCTTGTCTCAGCTAAGCTCTTCAAATTCAAAATAAAAAAAGAAACTCATTACCTAAAATGGAGAAAAATTGTTTTTGTACAGGTGCATTGTTTCCATTTAGAGGAAGTTAGCTGAGCAAGTTACCACCTGTCTCCCACTAGCCTCCACCCCCAGAAGTCTGGAAATACCTCTGCTTATTCCTGAAACTGCATGGAACAAATAACAAGTATCTCGGGACAGTGCAGATTGCTGACCACACACTCAAAACCTTAGAATCTTAGAGCTTAGAAGAATCTGGGCACACCTGTGTGTCCACAACTCCTACCTTGTTGCCATGCAGAGATACTCGGCCCTTCCTCGCCAGGTAGAATGAGAAGGCCACAGACTCTGTTCAATACCTGGCAACAAATGGAGTACTTTTTCTCTTCTGACTTTAAGCTTCTCTGTATCCTGCTCTCATCTCTGTAACTAGGTTGGAGACAAGGACTACCTTTTACAGCATCACGGTGCCCACACAAAGCAAGACAATCAATAAATTCTTAACTGAAGGCCTGACTGACTTCAGGAATTCAAGGTCACTTGAAATACCAGGGTCGCTGCATTGCACAACTCCAATGAAGCACCATTCAGATTGTATTCTATGGTTGTGCAAGTAGAAGCCTTGTAAAGTTTACAAGGCGTACACTGGGCTCTTTCCCAATTGAGAAAAAACTTTAAGAAATTCTTTATTGGAAAAAAAAATAATTCCCTCCCTTATCCTTTGACAGGAAGCAACTACACAAGTACACTTTCTCAACTTCCTTAAGAATGGTTGTTTATCAAAGAGTACATGTGGATATGTGAATATGTGTGTGTGCTTCTGTACATGTTTGTGCATGTATGTGCAAGGTTGCTAGAGAACTGCACTTTTAGGAAGTCCATTTGGAACAGTTTGACTGTTTTAACCTTGTCTTCACAAGCCCTATGTATTTATATTTTGGGAATTTCCCATGAATGGAATCTCTCCAGCTTGAAAGATGCCTCAGAACTCTTGGCTGTGTCCAGCACTCTGGAAAATGACCTTTGCGATCAAAGGCATGTTCCTAAGCCACCAGATGAGCATGGGGTCTCTGTGACTGCATGGTTTCTGTCTTCCTGGTTGAGGAGATGCAGAGGCAGGGGAGGGAGCTGAGAGTTTCTCCTAAGAAAACCTGTTGTTTGCCTTTGTGTTTTTCAAACTGACAGGTGTTTATTTTTTCTCATGTCTACCCAGGAAACCAAGTGCTGCCTCCTGGAGCTTCTCTTGGAAATGGGCTCACACCAGAGGCAGCGAAAGACCTTGGCCTCCCTGCTGGAATTGCAGTGTCTGCCTCCCTTATTGATGCCCACGCAGGAGGACTAGGTAACCTCTCACTCCATGTCCACACTCACACTGCAAATAGAATATTCCTCACCACCTGAGACACTCCTTTTCTGTCTTTCTTTTCAAGAAAAGCTCAAGGGCTGGTGATTTAAGACATAGGGGTGAGAAGCCTTTTTCAGTTAGGCATTTAGATAGAATTATAGAACTGTTCATCAAATATAAAATTTATAATTGTATTAGTTTTTCATACAGAATAATAGAAAATGTTGATCTGAATAGCTATCAGAATGGTCCTTTGGTTTACTGAACATTTGAAACATCTATATTTACTTCCAGCTAGCGTGTATGCTTATGGTATACTTATCAGCACGGTTTTCTCGAAAGGTACAAGTTTTACATGTTTTCACCGAAGGCCAAGTTTTAATCGGAAGACAGAATATGACACAAGAATTTCACTAACTGCAAGAAAGTATGATGACTGTCGTCTTTTCCCTTCTCGTAGGGTTTTTGTGATGGCTTATACTTTCAAATATTTCGTACTTAAACTACACCCATGTCTTTTCTCCTAACCTTTCTTCCTAAAAATATTTTTTAATCACAGTTCATACTTCATAAGATCAATTCAAAGGGTCTGTTCTCAGAATAGAATGGAGTGGAATAAAAAAACATCATAGTATGACATCATATGCTAAGAGTAACGACTGTTTTGTGGAATGTAAATTTTTTCTGTATTTTGGCCTGTGTATACTGGCATAAACAAGAAAAGGATATTTCCCCTCTATGGAGCATAGTCAAAACACTGAAAGATTTCCTAGTCCATGCATCATGTTACAAATTACATTATCAATATATGTCATCCTCCTACTGTTATCTTTCAAAAACTTAAATTGAATTGAGATCCCAGAACTCTTTCCATGTAATTACACCTCCGCATTTTTTCACATGTCCAGAACGCAGGTTCTCTTTCTCTCCAGCTAGGTGATTACTGCTGCAACTCTGCATAACCTTTCAAGGCACACTCAAATTTATTTAGAAATTCTACAAATAGTACATCTTTTAGCACCTTTACCTACCCCTATTGAATAGTGATCACACTGTGCTTTAATTATCAATGTATCTGTTTTTCTTTTCCATTAGACTATGAATTCCTCGAGGGCAGGGTGTTATAAAATTTAATGTCCATAATTAACAATGGACCGCACTGGTGTTGAGCTTTATGACAGGTTCCTATAAGTGTTTGATACATTTATTAAATGAATAAAGTCACATTAAGAATAAGGTGAAATGTTCCCATGTTTATTGCTGCTTTATTTACAACTGTAAATTGTAAATTTATTTACAATTGGAAAGACATGGAAACAACCCAAATGCCCAAAAGTAGATGACTGGATTAAAAAGTTGTGGTACATATACACAATGGAATATTACTCAGAAGTCAAAAAAGAAAGAAAACACATGCCTTTTGTAGCAATATGGATAGAGCTGGAAAAGATCATGCTTAGTGAAATAAGCCAGAAGGAAAAGGAGAAATACCAGATGGTTTCACTCATAGCAGGAGTATAAAGGACCAGGCAATAAAATAATAATAATAATAATGAACAGCCATATACCAGAGACATCGGGGTAGAGTGGGGAATGAGATAAAAATGGTGGGGGGAGGGAAGTACATTAGACTATGGTGATGGCACATGGGTGATCTAGTGATGGGAAGCCCACGATGATTACAACTGAGATGGAAAAAGGCACAAAATGATGTAAAAATAAACTTAAAAAAAAAAAGAAAAGAAAAAGGTGAAATGGCCTTAACTTATAGAGGAACATTAATGTTTCCTTATGGTACAGATTATTATTATTTGTTAAAGATTTATTTATTTATGTATACAGAACTGGGGTACAGGCCAGAAGGATTCACCAGAGACAGAGTGTGCAGAACAGGCTAACTGATGAATTACACTGCTGAGGAGAGCAGTGGGTGGTTCAGGAGACGTCTGCCGTGCCATGTGGGTCACCACTGGGACGAGGATTGAACTAATGCTGAGGTGGCTTTAGCTTCTTAGTGCTGTGCTTTAACCCGCTGCACCACCAGGGAGGGCCCCACAGTACAGATTAGTAAGGAGCATCCAGTTCTTTTCCAGAGTCCATGGACTTTTAGAGCAAGCGAGCTCTTGTGGACCTTTGAACATGCTGCCCTGTTCATCTTCCATGTTCGGGTGTAACACAGAGCCTGATAAATAGTAAACAGCCGACAACCCGCATGGGTTAGCTGGATGCTAGACAATACTCTTTACCTTTGTGGTGTGTAATTCCCATTTAGGTATATGTGGTGTGTGCTTTTGATTGGAATGTCATGATTTTGGTTTTAAGAACAAGCGCAAAGAAGGTATGTGGGCTAGACTGGCATGGCGTGTCCTGTCCCCACTCTAGATCATGTTGAGCCAAGGGAGATTTCTCTGTCACGTGTCTTCAGTTGCTCTGGGGTGAACATCTCAATCAGCCACTTTCACCAGGTGACAGCACTTGGCTTGGACCACCTTTGGCAGGAACAAAGGGGTCTACACCCTGGGGAGCTTCACACTCTCTGCTGTCCTTGTCCATTTCACAGGTGACCAAACATGCCTTCTAACTTCTCCTCAGGCTCACTGCCCTCCACAGGGGAAAGTAATTCCTGTGTGGCACTTGGTATGTATAGAAACTTGGGGAGGGTTGGTTGAATCCCCTGGGAAGATTCCAGGACATTAAATGATCTTCTTTCCCTAAGTCAGAGATGATCAGTGACAGAAATTGTACCCGCAGATGCTTTGGTCGAGACCTTTTGCTCCCTTCAAAATACAAATGTTCTTAGGTTAGTGAATTTCCTGTGTATTTTCCAAAAGTAATTTCCTTAAATGGAAAGATAGAATAAGGACCTTGTTGGTTGTGTTTTTCAGGTATTATTAGCTATAGTGGTCTCTGTGCTATATATTACATCCTCCTGACTTTTCTTGTAAGTTTTTCAGTTTTTCCCTTTTCTCCTTCCCCCTCCTCACTCAGGTACCTAGGGTTCTTAAAAGACTGTCTTTGGGGACAAACAGTGGCTAAGAGAATTCTTAGCAGCTGTGGGACAATAAAAACCTACTTCACAGTTCTAATCTTCGCATACCTTCTCTCTCCTCTTCTTTTTTTCACCTTACAGCCAATGCAGGATTAGGATATCTGAACAAAAGAAGAGAAATAAATATTCAGTCACTTCTCTCACATTATCTATGCTTCTATCAGGTAGTAGAAATGAAAGGCCTGGGAATCTTGAGACAACCATCTACTCCCCAACTGCTAGAGATGTGTATTAAATGTTTGCAAACTAGCAGTTACAGGCCTACACACTAGGGGTTAACAGCAATGAGCAGAATACAACTGCGCTCTTTCTAGAGGAAAGTTCTAGTTGTTCTTTCCTGGCCTGCATGTTTGTAACTTAACAGTACATAGTACAGGTTTGAGGCATCTAATCCCTCAGACATGTTATGATGCTATAATAATGAACATGGAGACTGAAGATGGGTTTAAACTCCTGTTCTCCCTGTACCTGTATTTTGTACCTCCTGGCACTTACATTTCCTCCACTATGATGAGCAAGCAGTGCCTCCTCACAGATTGGTGATGAAAACTGAGATGCATGTAGGTAAAGTAGTTGGTATAGTGTCTGGCCCACAGTGGACACACAGTAAGAGAGGCCTTTCAATAGTTTCCTGGATTCATAATGCCTGACACACTGTAGGAACTTTATTTGTGGGAGTTCTCTGAGTTACTAGCCTAGGAAGAAGTGTTCCAGGAGAACTATCTTCTCTTTGGGTAGGCAGTTGGAGAAGACCCCTAGACACTGCCCTCCATCAGCCTTTCCTGATTCTGCCTTATTTGCCTTTCTGGACTTTCTGTAACAGAATGCAGAATCTACTGCTGTAAGATGCTGTTGAGTCAGAAACAACTTGAGTTCATGGTCAAATGAGGCCATGTAAAAGATTGCCCAGTGCCAGGCTAAGAAGCCAGCACTGGAGGTCAGTATTGCACACCATCCAGGCTTCACACAGAGAAGCCCTGACCCCAATGGTGCCTTCAAATGCTGACCTGATATGACCTACCTCGGACCCCACATTCTGATATTAGGAGGGTCTGCTTTGGAGAAATCCTCTTGGGCATATATTCTCAAGGAAGCCTGGGCTGGGAGGATAAAGATCAAAGAAGCAAGTACAACTCTACTCAGGCTTTTTCCAGTTCTGGACAAGAGGAAGAAGTACTTTGTGGGAATAAAAAAAAAAATAGAAAATAGAACATTTTGTTCTTAAGGTGCTGGTTAGTAACTTCTCTAGCAGACAGGCAGAAGATAGGAGTAGCTTTGTTTGCTCTTCGTGGGGGTGGTTCTGGCCAGGGCTCCTGCTGCTGATATTTTTCTAGCTTGTAAAAATAGTATTAACTTTGTTCCAGGTCTGTTCTTGGCTCCAACATCCCAGCTGTCCTGAAAGGCAATAACAACCTGATTTCTGTCTCAGGCCTCTCTATGCTCAGTTTCTCTTTATCTATCAGATGAACTCTTAATCATCTATCAAGTTTTCAACCTGGTGCCCTCTCTTCTGTGTCCCTTCCCTGTCTTCCCCAATCCATTTATGCATTCCTTTTACTACTTTGCTCCCACTATTTCTCATAGTGGCATCCATTACTGTAAATGTCCAGTTTTGTGTATGCAACATTGTCGCATTTTTTAGTCTAAACCCTTGGAGAGAAAGCACTGTGTCATTCCATCCTCAGATCCCAGCAATAAAAGCACAGTACTTTCTACTTGGAAAACTCTTAACATATTCATAGGTTATGAATGAATGAATGCATTCCCTCCTTTGAGGCATGAGCATGGCAACTGAGACTTAGAAAAACTTCTCATTACAGAGACAAGCATCCCTATATAATAGAAGCACCTGGCTCCTTCTCCTTGAATTATAGTGTTTGAATTGAGCATTTGGCTCAAACACTGCCTAATCCATTCCTTGATATCTGAATGGCACCTTTTATTCCTC